ATAAATTCAAAATACCCAATATTAGGCAGCACAGCGAAAGTGGCCAACTTAGGGGGCAATTTCGGGTTCACATTTGCTCCAATCCATCCCTCAGAAGACCCATAATCAGCACTCAACAGTGGCAGCTCACCCGCATAGTGCCTCAATTTTTTCAAATAAGGTTCCATTGACCCAGTCATGATCCCATAAATGTACTTTGCATTGGGAAATAGCTCTGGTATTAATCCATACCAATTACTTAATCCTGAGCATTTTTTATGGATCTTATCAGCCAATTCTGGGTTTGGCTTGAGCAATTTCGACATAGTTGTTCGTACGGATGGGACAGTGATTTGGCTAGTGAGACCCCTTCTCGGATGTCAGTACAGAGTTCTTCCCAAACTTGTTCAAAGGTTCGGAAAGCATAAACAATGCTGTGGGAGGACACTACTTGGACTTCATTCCAGTAAATGAGTCTGCTTAGAAGATGGCAGTATAAGGATTGCTGGAAGTCGGGACCAAATATCACTTCATCAGGGCTACAACATTGGGTCCGCATAGCCTTCATTGTATTCTTGAACAGTGAACCACTAAACACGTTCGTAGTAGCAGTTCCTGCAGCCAGACCCCCTTTCGTTTTGAATTGCTTGCTGCTGTAAATGAACTGCAAGGCCTTTCCATTCCCAATAGGAAATTCCCTGCAAACCAGTAGTTCTTCACATCAGCAAATATCTTATTAACGTCATGCACAAGGGAGGAAAAGTAGAAACACATTAAACGCTAATATGGGCAATGCAGAGAATTTTAAAACATAAGGAAATGTGGATGGGAGAGTTTGTGTCCATTTGTATGGGTGTGGAATTTCCAAACCAATGGCTCAAATTTGTTTTTGGATGTTCGGAAGAATGAGAGAGAGAGAGAGAGAGAGAGAGAGTATATACACACATGCCTCACAAAGATTCATAACCATCTTAGAAACTTCTACAAAGAGGATGAAAAAACAGTAAAATCATTTAATCAACTGTAAGACTACAATTGGCAAATGGGGAGAATTTTAAAACAAAACTTGTTATTGCCTAGTGACGAGCATTAAACAAATTGAATTCCCTAAAAAAAAAAGGAGCATCTTGATTGTGGAAATGTCAAAGTCGGAAAAATGCCTAATTGACATATTCATGAACGCTTTGTATATTGTTGATTCCTCCAAACAAAGAAAACAAAATTTAATAGACAAGTGAAATGTAACTTCCAAAACATCTAATAATCACTTACAATTCCAACCAAATATTTTTAAGGTCAACTTGAAAGAGAAGGGCATCTAATACTAATATGAACTAAAAATCCTTTTGCAATAAACAGAGGAATATAGCCTGTTTCTAAATGCAAAAGATGTCTTATATATCTGCATAGTGGATTCCATCAATTCGTTATTGAACGGGACAAACTTGGGCTTTCCCTGAGTGGTGCCAGAACTGCAAGAAACAAAGAATCGACAGACGCTATGAACTTCGCATCCAAACAATTTTTATCAGAAAAAAAAGTCACTAAAAAAAGCATCAAGAAAATAACAATTAATTACAAGTACCTTAATGAGATGGTTGTTATTGGTTTTCCAGTAAGGATGGGGGAAATATCACCATCCACCATTCTCTAAATGTAAGGTTCCAAATCCTTGTGAGTGACGAGGGGGGCAAAAGCCTTGAAACTCTCATGGTCAGTTCTTCCATTAAGACCCCATTTCTTTAAGTACTCTGTGCTGCCATTTTCTTCCAGTATTTTCTGCAGGGTCTCTTTCTAAACTCTCTCAGCATCCTTTGTTAGCATCTCGAATTCTTCTATGACTTCCTCAGGGTCAAATTTTGTGTCCATCTTCTTCAACATCCTCACAGACCTTGAATGGCTTGCTACAATTATCAAAGGACTTATTGAGAAATACTTAATATGTAATTCAACACAAAACCAATTTTGAGAAAGTCTACATGACTTCTAAAACATGAGCATACAATCCGAAGAAGCAATTTCGACAAAATGTAGAGAACATAGTAACACTATTTCACTTTTGCAAAACACTGCAAAAAAAAAAAAAAAGTCACACAAAGACTTTTAGAGAGAGAGAGAGAGAGAGAGACGTTAGTTTTCATTTTCTTGGCTCATTTTTGAGTTGGAAGAATATGGAATGATGGAAGATTCTTCGGGGGTTCGCATTATATAGAAATTCCAGAATGCCGTCCACCAAAAGCGCCAAATTGTTTCCAAATATTACCCCCTGAGTTTTGTTCGAATTACAAAAACACCACTGTTGTTGTCTAATTACATATTTGTCCTTTAAGAATGCTTGATATTACGATATGACCGCCAGAATTCTCTAAATTGTGGGGACCTAAAAGCGAAGACACGTAAATATTGGAAATTTTGGATAGAGTTGGATTCGAAATAAATATTAGGGAAATTTTGATATTAATAAATTACTGTGTGTGGGTCCCACACTTATGTGAGAGATTTGGTAGAAAAATTGATAATTTATGTGGGGTCTATAGCAATTTTCTTTTGGATATGGTTTGTTGGAAAAAATGGTTTTTTAGTGACTTTAATTAAATATTAAAGTGGGTCCCAACCATCTATTGTGTTGGGTCCAACTGGGTCTAGATACTTTGTAATGAAATCTTTACACCACAAATAGAATGGCTAAAAACCATTGAAATTTGAATGAGAAATTGCCTCATGAAATTAGCTTCATGAAAGAGTTAATGGGGTTTGTAACTTCTGCCTTTATTACTGAGTTTAATAGAGCATTAATGGGGTTGTAACTCCTACATTAATAGGGTTTATAACTCCTGCCTTTATTGCAGAGGTTAATGGTGCATTAGTGACCAGTCATAAAGGTTGGAGGCTTCTCCTCTCTTCCCTATACATGTAAAAGTTGAGACCCTCCTGTCAAGTCTCAAACACAGAAATTTTTGCTTTCTTTTTACAAGTTAGTTTGCTAGAAAGTCCCTACAGTGAGAGAGTACTGCCATCGTTTTGTTCACTAAGCTAGACAGAAAGTGCTTCTACCGTAGTTTGTTTTTGACCGTTGTATCCTGGGAGACAGACGCTGGAATTCCTCAAGCACTCGACCCGTGAGGCGGCGAAATTTGTTTTAAGGAAACAGCTACCGTGCAGGCTTCGATTTGCTTCTTACTACTAGTTTTATTTTATTATGAATTTCTATAAATTTTAGTATGTTCTTATTCTGAAATTCAAAGTGGTTATTCAATATGAACCTATTTATTTGATTTAAGTACACAATTTCCACAACATGGTTTGCTTAAAGGGTAATATTAGAGATATTAAATTTTCTACCAAACAAATGACCAAATATCTCACATGGGTGTGGAGTTTGCAATTTAGTGGACCCTATATCCATGTAAGATATATAGTCATATATTTGGTAAAAAATTTGAGACCTATAGCATTTTCCTTGCTTAAAATATTAAGGGTGCACTTTCTAAATTTTTAATCGCATATTAAATTCTTATTGTATAATAAATAATTTATTTTAATTATTTAATTATTAAATTAATTAAATAATTTTTAATGATGTCAAGTAATTTTATTTTTTGTACAAAAGGGTAATTAGAAATTTTATTTTTTTCTATTAACTCTATTAAATAATAAACTTTGATAAGAATGTATTTATAATTTTCAAAATTATAAAGAGTAATTTGTATTTCAAACAAATTTCAGTAATTTATTCATAGGATATTTGCAATGCAGTAAATGTTACTTAGATGGAAAAATATTTAAAATTTATTAAATCTCAATAGTATTTTTCAAATAAATTATGATAAGAATGCATTTATAATTTTCAAATTTATAAAAAGTAATATGTATTTCAAATAAATTTTAGTAATTCATTCATAAGATACATTACTTAGATGGAAAAATATTTAAAATTTACTAATTCTAAATAGTATTTTTCAAATAAATTATTATAAGAACGCATATATAATTTTCGAAATTATAAAAAGTACTAGGTATTTCAAATAAATTTCAGTAGTTCATTTATAAGATACATTACTTAGATGGAAAAATATTTAAAATTTACTAATTCTTAGTATTTTTCAAATTTTGAATAATTTCAGGGTAACTAGAAATTTTATTTTTTTCTATTAACTCTATTAAATAATAAATTTTGATAAGAATGTATTTATAATTTTCAAAATTATAAAGAGTAATTTTATTTCAAACAAATTTCAGTAATTCATTCATAGGATATTTGCAATGCATTAAATGTTACTTAGAGCATCTCTAACCATTGTTGCTGTAATGCCATTGCTATTGCTATAATTTGACAATGAATAGTGCTATTTTGCCAAATTATAGCAATGGTGCTCCAATGGTCATTTGCTATTTTGGCAAATCTCAACAAACTTTTCCCTCCAAGTTTGTAGGTGTTGTTTGGATATAGATTTTTTTGTGATTTTATTTTTTTTATTTTTGGTCTTTTGTGACAGACAAATATAAAAAATTGAAAAATTAGAATATATATATATATATATAATTCACCCCACCAAAAAATATATCACTACATATTTAATAATTTTTTTTTAACTACACAAAAAAAATAAACAATCACCAATTACCCACCAACAATCATCCATCATTCACCCATCATTCATTCACCAACAACCAACCACCAACAACCATCCATTATTAACCCAGCATTGATTCACCAACAACTACTCACCCAACAACCACCCATTATTCATCCACCCATCCAACAACCACCCATTATTCATCCACCCATCTAACAACCATCCATTATTCATCCATCTACCCAACAACCATCCATTATTCATCCACCTACCCAACAACCATCCATCATTCACCGCCCACAATTTTCTCCATAAATATAACATAAGGTTTTCTATAATTTTCATATTCACCTACCCATCATTTTCATATCTTCTAAACTCTCTGTACTCACCCAGCAGATTTTCTACAATTTACATATTCACCCACTCACTCATCTACCTACAATGAACAATTTGACTAAAGTCATATTCAATGGAGATTTTGATGAATCTTCATCATCCGATGATGATATCATCATAATGCAACTGTTCACAGCGCAACAACAAAAAATACAGACATTAAGCTTAAACCAACCAGCCAGACATGTTGGTCCCACAAGTGGTCGTCGATACATTAATTGTGAAAGGGACAAAGGCGACGAACAAATTTATATAGATTATTTTGTAGATAATCCTGTCTATCCAGAAGAATACTTCCGAAGATGTTTTCGAATGAGGCGGTCATTGTTTGTTAGTATGTTACATGATATTCAACAAATGAATAAGTACTTTATCCAAACTCGTGATGCCACTGGTGATCTTGGATTATCCGGTGTACAGAAGATGATTGTAGCACTTTGGATCCTGCAGTACGGCACGCCTGCTGATGCTGTAGACGAGTACATTAGAATCGGCGAAAGTACTGCAATCGTCGCCTTGAATTTTTTTTACCAGATCAATTGTTACTACCTATGAAGCCGTTTACTTAAGATTCCCAAATGAAGCAGATATCGCTAGATTATTGCAAGAGGGAGAGCAACGCGGAATGTTAGGGAGTTTGGATTGTATACACTGGCGTTGGGATAAATGTCCAACTGTCCAAGCCGGTGCTTACACTGGACACTACCACAAACCAACAGTTGTACTTGAGGTAGTTGCCGCCTATGACTTGTGGATTTGGCATGCTTTCTTTGGCATGCCTAGCTCTCTAAATGATATTACTGTTCTTGACAGGTCGCCGTTATTTGCTGAATTAACTAGAGGACGTGCCCCTGCTACCAACTACACCATCAATAATCACGCGTACACCATGGGGTATTATCTTGCAGATGGTATCTATCCTCGTTGGGCAACGATTGTGAAAACAATATCTCAGCCTCAAGGTGCAAAGAGACAACTATTTGTGAGGATGCAGGAGGCATGTCGGAAGGATGTCGAAATGGCATTTGGAGTGCTCCAAGCACGATTTAATATTGTCAGAGTTCCAGCTAGAGGTTGGAGTGATGAGGATCTGTACTACATCATGAAGATGTGCATTATTTTGCACAATATGATCATTGAAGATGAGTGTGATATTCCAGAAAATGAACGCAGTGCAGCACAACTTGAGACTAATACCAGTAATACCTGTTGTCAAGTGTCACGCGATCCGAAAGAGGAGTATGCTCAATTTATGTTGAATCGGCAGAGGATTAGATCTATTGAAGCCCATAACGCAATTTGTAATGATCTAATTGAAGACTTGTGGTCCCGAGCTGGAGAGTTATTTTGTATTTTATCTTTTTAAGGATAGTTAATGTCATTTAATGTCAGTTAAAGTCCTTTTATTATAATAAAATCATCTTCATTTAATGTTAGTTAATGTATTTTATCTTTTTATTGCCTTCATTTGGAAAAATATATTTATCTTTTTACATTATACTTTATTGAAAAATTTAAATTATAATAAAAATTAGTCAACATTATACATTGCAAAAATAATATTACATTATTTTGTAGAAAATACTCAAAAAATAAAAAAAAAATAAAAAAACATGAAATTTCATTACAAAATAAAAATTACATTACAAATAAAGACTAACAATTACATCAAAAATTAAATTAATAATAATATTACATTATCCCGTAATTATTCATCAGGAGGCATGGGGAAATAGTAATTTAGGCTGCTGACATTTGAGGACCACTTGGCGAAAATCTCATTTTTTCGCATTGTGTAATACGCTTTCGTTTGAGGGTCCAAAAGAGAAATATCCGTAGTCATTATCTCATGTTCTTGTTTTCTTATCTCAAGTTCTTTCATTTCCTGCAGTGCTTGAATCATTTTTTCCTTTTCTTTCATCTTTTTTCTTTTCCTTCTCAGCAAGGTGTTGGTTAAATGTCTCCAATTGTATGCTCATTTTTTGGACTTCAGCTTCAATCACTTGATTTCTCTGAAATAATTCTTTTGAAACTTCCTACCCATAGGCTTTTTACCCCTTGCAGAGACACTGCCCTTACCAACAGTTAGATTGTTACCAACACTTGGACTAGTGTCATGTTTAAGAGAAATGTAGTTATCCATAGGGGAATCGAGGGCTGAATCAGGGGAAAACGGTGTACGTATCCTTGACTTCACCGTGTTCGTAGGAGCTAAATCTTGCCACCTGATAGTGTTTTGCAAGATTGGCCAGCAATGTTAAAAAACAAAATGTTTATTTTTATCTTGATGGTATAACAGTTTTGCTTGAAGCATCTGTATCAATAAAATATTAAATTAATTAGTTAGTTAAATTTTATATAAGACAAAATAAAAAAAACTAACATAATAAATGATGATGAAATCTTACTATATCAACTTGAGACATCTCACTTGGGTGTAGATTTTCGACTAGCGCTAAACACCCATGAAATCTGTTGCAACATTTCATGATTACACCCCTTCGAGATGAGATAGATACTTGTATTCTTGAGTGATCATTCTGCAATGAACAATAATTTTCAAAAATTCTTCCACAAAAATGAGCATGAGATTGTGAATTCCCAACAATTGGGTCTTCAGTAATGTGACACCAAGCTCTACAAATTGCCACATCTTCTTGAATGGTGAATGATTTTCCTCTCTTTATTTTTGATGAACCTTTCATAGTGATTCTGTGAAAAAACTAAGAAGAAAATAATTTGTGAAGTTTGGCGTGAAATGAAATTCAGATAAAGAGAAGAGAATAGAAAAATGAAATTTGACATGTTTGGTGTGAAATGAAATTGAGATTAAGGGTTTCTATTTATAGAAATACAAAATATGACCGTTTGTAGATAATGACTGTTAATTTATAGTTGTTGTTTGAAAGAGGAAGAAAAAGAGCCGTTGCTCAAACCCATGTGTATTCCAATAATAAAATAGCATCGTTGGATTATATAATCCAACAGCTCATCTGTCTATCTATCTAGGACAATCCATGTGCATTCCAATATCTATCTATCTATATACCCTCCTGTTGAGTCATCTCCCAAGTCTATCTATGACACCAAGCTCTCTCTTTATCTATCTCACTGCTCTCTCTTCATTCCTCTCACCAGTCTTCATCTCTCTCTCATCTTTTCTCCTCTCCTCTCATCTCCTCAAATCTTCCAAATCAAACCCTAACCAAGCCATTCTTCCTCAAACTCTCTCTGTCTCTCTCTCTCTCTCTCACACACACACACAGATACAGAAGCTCCCTGATCTCGCTCCTCTGCAAGCTACACAAACCTCAATTCATCGCCGTGGATTTACATATTTTTTTCTCGATCTAAAACAGAGAAAGTTTAGATCAGCTCAGATCTGACCCCATGCATGAGATGATAGTGGTTTTTGTGTCCATTCATAGGAGTCCATTCATAGAAATACCAAGAAAATTAAATGTCAAAGCTCAGATCCGGCGAGTTAAAGCTCAATTCCATGAAATGCAAAGAAAATTAGGAGTCCATTAATGGAATACATATATATACCTTTAGTATCAGCTTTCATAGAAAATATATATATATATATACCTTTTGCAATAACTTTCATTTTCTCTATGTGCTTGATTTCTCTGTCTCTCTCCCATGTTCGTTTTTTTTTTTTAGTTTTCCATATATATATATATATATAAAATGTATCTATATGCATATCATGTTTAGTTTTGAGTTTAATTAACTTGAATACTCTCATCTCTGTTCTTTGTCTTTATAGGTATATATATCATCAGATTTGAGGGTTTTTTTTTTGTTGTTTTTTTTTTTTTTTTTTTGTTGTTGATAACGACAATGATGATGAAGAAGATGAAGCCAAATTCCTTGTCAAATTGCAGGTATTTTTTATAATATTATCTTGCTCAAATTCTTTTTTTTTTGGAAATTGATTACTTGAAATTGCTAAAATTGATTCATTCATATTACTTGAAAATCCTGAAATTCAAATTATTTTTTTATTTTTTTCTTCAAATTGATTAATTGATTTTGAAATTTTTAGCTTTAGAATTTATTTATTTTTTGGTGAATTTTGCTTCTGTTTTGGAAAATACTAGCTGGGAAGGATGATGAGAGAGGGAGAGAGGGAGAGAGGGAGGGGAAAATGGTTGGTTTTGGTGACTTGGCAACTTTGGCAGCTGCCAAAGCTTGTGCCATATTTGACACATGTTTTGGCATTTGCCAAAGATAACAGCTGCCAAAACTTGTCATTGGAGAGCACTTTTCACTAACACCTGCTATAAAATGGCTTTGGCATCTCCAATGTGTAGACGTGCCCGAACGTCTCGGGCTTCACGCGCGAGATTGCCGCAAAATTCGTTTTGTTCTTAGTTGCTACAGTTCGGACTCAATGTCACGGTTCTGGATCTAATCTCACAAAGTGCAATGTGAGATTGATAAATCACCAAAGTGTCCAAATCTGGCAAATCGTTTTGGAAAACTGATGTTTATAAAGAAATGCCAAACATGGACTGCTTTGCCAGATACAGGGTCGCCACCTAAATATTTTGTTTTTGGGAAATTTAGGAAACCCTGACTCGTGCCTAAGGCCACGTGTCCGTCATCACCAAAGTTGCCTCAGCTCGGGAACTTGGGTACGAGAAGGGAAGGTCATGCAATGAACACTCCCACTCGCCCGATCAAAGATCAGCCTTTACTAACATGATATCTTGTTTTTGAAAACACGTGTTCTTATTCCGGTTATTAGCTAGAATTACTATGTGATGTGCACAACACACAAGTATAGACTAGATCGCCTAAGTTGGAATAAAACAACTCATGTTTGTTCGTTTGAAAATGGTTTGAAGGTGCTACTCGCAAGTAGGCTAAGACGTGGATTTGCCACCCTCGAGTGGGCTTAGAAAACATGATTTTGCCACCCTCAAGTGGGCTTAAAACTCGCATTTCGACGAATTGTTCCAATTCAAGCAATCCAACCTTCACCCACAGGTATTCAGGCAGTTATATCAAATAAGCACATAGCCTCATGGCAAGCATGTTGTCATGGCAACACTCACACTCATGCAAGATGCTAAAGCGAAAACACTTACAGTGTACTCCGAGCCAAAACAAAGAACTAGTTAGTAATCAATGCATGATCCTAGTTTAGGTTAAGATGGCTAATGCAACACATGCAAAATGCAACTAGAAATAGGTTCGGCTATTCTAAGATGGCATACGAGATGCAACTTGATAATCATGTATTCAAATCGGTATTGAAATACAATGCAGATAGTAAGATGCGCCGAGCCCGATGCATGCAAGACAGATGAATGAATGCAAACATGTAAGCATAAAGATGCTAATCAAAACATGACCTAGAACTAACCATCGTAAGCGGTTAAGTAAAAAGGAGAAAGACGTGGGGTTGGAAGACATTCACACACTCACGCACACTTATTACAAAATTCGCCCTCTCGATAGAGGGTCCGAATAAATAAACTAGCTAGCTACGCTAAGCTATTCTAACTAATCTAATAATCTAATTAGACTAATTATTACAACACCGAATTGAAGGTTAGCTATGCCAAGCTAATTAAGAATTTACAATGATGGAATCAATTAGCAAATACATCAACTAATTAAACAACTAATTAACTAACTACACAAAGCAGTTAAAACAGCCTTGAGGAGAGGGGCATATGCATGCTTGGTCGGCTTCGCTCGGAAATCCAATGCCATGCCTCATGTTGCCTCTGTTTGCACTGTTTTAGACTTCTGAAAACTCTGCAAATCTCCAAAACACCTCTGATTCACCTCATGGACATGCTGAGAGATCATTGGCCAAGAGAAGTGGTCATCGGCCAGAGAACAATGACCATCGGCCAAATTTGAGGCTATCGGCCAAATATTTGTAGCCGATTGGCACACCAGATAACCGATCGGCCATCTTTTCTTGTAAACTCTCCTTTTTGCTGCAACAGAGCACAAACAGAGGCATGGCAATGTATTTGCAAGAAAATATGTGTGCAACCACACTCCTTATCATGTTTAAGACTCAAAGGTGTATAGTGCTCGACCCTCGGGCCACCAATCACACATTCCAATGCATGATGGCCAAAGGAGCCAAGTGTGCAATTCAAGGTAAAATGAATGCACAAAAACACAATGAATGCCTAAAACTCTATCACGCGGAATCAAGAGCGTCGGCGACCGAGAATTGAGGTACGTTTCATCACTTTAAGTATGAAACGTCCCTTGTTCCTCGTGTTTGGTTTGACACCCCAAACCAAACACAATGCAATGTATGCAACATGGAGATGTTATGCAATGTAGCATAAACACGCCAAATGTAATATGACTCACGCATGCACGCAA